CCACCAGGGAGGGCCTCCTAACTACTTTTTATTCCAGTCAATAGTTATACACATCCCCAGCAGACCCCTCAAAATATCAATACCTGTGTCTCTCTCCCTGCAAACCCCAACCAGACTATCCTCATATTCTGTACTCGAAGTTAACTAAAACCAGTGACCACCCATGTGTTTTCAATACTTTTTTCATGCCAGACACTCTTTTAGCCATTTTACATTAATTCTAATTCTCACTATTCCATGAAGAGTTTATAATTATCATCATCTTCATTTCACAGAAAAACTACAGTTAACTTGTTGGGAGAAAATGCCCATCTCGGCCCTCCCAGATGGCACAATGGGTTAAAGTACAGCACTATGAAGCTATCTGCAGCCACCGCATCACGAGTTCGATCCCTGGCCAGGGAGCTGACCCACATGGCACAGTAGACCTCTCCTGTCTCACCTGCTGCTCCCCTCAGCAGTATATTTCAGTGCCTGTTCTGCTTCCCACTCTGTCTCTGGTGGATCTTCTCACCCCCCAACCTCTGATCTATACCCCAGTTCTTGTATGCATGAATAAATACATCCTTAAAAAAGAAAATGCACAGCCACGCCAACAGGTCCCACCCTAAATGGATGGCAACAAATTTCTATTGGCTACTGTGCAAAGAATGGCAATACTGCCCATTTCCTTGGCAGTTTTGATATTTTACTCCCCAGGATACTCATGGTGTACCCCTGCTCTATTCCTTCACTTGATAACCTCCATTCGCACTTTACTGAGAAGCCAAGAGAACAAGACAGCATATCTTCCAAGCACCAAACCATGGCCTCTGAACACATCCTGTCTTTTCCTACAGAAGAAAACTGTAAGAACATCCATCAACGTCAGGTTCTGTAATGAGCTCTGGTTCCTATCTTTACCCTGTCACTCAGGGTCTTTGTAACCCCTCTCTCTTACAGTATCAACTCCTCCCAATCGACTGGGTTACTCCTGATACCATAAAAGCACCCCATTAATCCTTCTTTGGCACCATCTTTCCTCCGTTCACCATTTGCATTCTCAGTTCCCTTTCATAGACAACTTTTCCAAAGAACTCCAGTTCTTCCTTTTCTACCACCCACTCTAATCGACTTCTGCCTCCAACACACCTCTCAAAATACTCTTGTGAAGGTCACTAATGTCTTCTTCAGTCATACTCTAAATTTATCTCCTTCTCAACAACATCAGACATGACTCTCTGCCTCTACTTTTGCCACTTCTCCCGCACTTCTCTGTATATCCGAGGACTCAGGGCTCTGCCTAAGCCTCCTCCTTCTCCCGCTATACTCTTAAAACTGAATCTGCTCTCAAAAGATGCTATCAACACACTTTCTACTTCCAAAGTATACCCCCAGCCTTGATTTCTCCCCTTAGCTTTACACTTTATATTAAATGTACCTTTAAGCCCCTAACTTGTCCCAGTGCCTCTCAACATCCCTATTCCTTCCTCTCAGTGAATTGTACCACTGTTCACCTGGCTGCAAAAACCTGGACATCACCCTTGATTGCTTCCTTCCCTAAACCGCCACATTAACTGACCAGCGACCTCTACAAATACACTTCAAATCCACTCACATGCCCATGTCTCCTGACACCACCCTGGCCCACAACACGATCATGGCTCCCAGAACTGTGGTGAACACATCCAAGGAATCTCCCTAATTTCACTCTTGCCCACCCACAAGCCAAACTTTTGTTATCATTTCACCCTTCTGCTTTAAAGCTCTCAAACGGCTTCCTAAGTAATTCCAAATGTGCCATCCCCAAGTTTGAACATGACGTGGCTGCTAGCCTTCTCTGTCTTCCCCACACTTTCCCCTTGCTGGCTTCAGTCCAGGCACACTGGCTTGCTTTCTGTTCCCTAACACACAAAGTCCTTTTCCAGTCTGGGTCTTATATCATCTCTTCCTGGGAAGCTTTATCCATGTCTCTCCACGTGACTGATTTCTCGTCATCCTTCAGGTCTAGGTTCAAACGTCTCCTTTTCAGAAAGTCACTCTCTGAGTATCTGCTCTAAAGTGGCATCTCCCAATTACTCTCTCCTCATTCTGTTTATTTCCCTTCATAGCATTTATTATAAGCTGCAATGATCTTGATTGCTTATTGTTTACATGTGTCTCTCTCCCACACAAGAAAGCAAATCAGTTCTTCATCTCTCATTCACCACTCTATTCCAGTGCCAAACACACTAACTGACATACTGACAGGCATTCAATAAACATTTCTAAGTCAATGCAATACTGTCATGAGCAATTCACCAGTCTTTTATGGAAAGACCACATTCCTGAATAAAGTAGAGACAAACACCTCTTTAAATAACTTCAGAATTCAGGATAGAAAATGCTACCTGTGGACATTCATGGTGAAATGTCAGGCAAGGGGGAGCTGACCCTTACCATTTCTGTGTATTCCAGCTGTTCCCCTTCATTGTACAGTTCTGGGGGTAGGTTATAAATCCTCAGGATGTTATCAGCACTATTGGTCAAGATGCAGGAACCATCAGGGGCCCTAGGATTAGGAGAGAAATACAAAACTGGCCAGACCTGTATTTTTCAAAAGTAGAGCCAAGGTATATACCTGTGGGGTAGATAAACCTCCACAGTCTTTAAGGCAAAGTGAAAAACACAAGATCTTAAATGAAACTTAAGCTCAGGACTAGAAGGAATTCTAGCTTCTCTCATCTCTTTTGGACGCTTCTCCCAAATGTTGGGGTGTCATAAGGTGAAAATCCCGGGAGTGATTGACAGCCTCATTATCCTTACTCACCACTTACAGCCTTTCAAGAAGTTCTCATGCTGGGCGCTGAACTCTGACCAAGAACCACTGAGAAACCGAGGTATCTGGGAAAAGTTGTAGCTCCAAGTGCTGGAAGGAAGGTGGGAAGACAACAAATCTAGCTCACCAACACAAAGGGAAAGTACCGGAGAAATAGGACTAAAAAATAACACGTAAGATAAAGCTCACACTTCTATACACCTCACAACTTCCAACTTCTTCAGACTCCTGAGTCAACCGCCACCATCACTTACGTGTATCCCTCATCCTCTGGAACGGGATCCTCAGACACACCTTCCATGGCTTCTTCAGGCTCCAACTCTGGCCTGTTCGTTTCTAGGGCTGGAAGGCTCACTTTTTCAGAAAGTTCTTGCTCCTCGGCTTGAGGGCTCAACTCAATAGGCGTTGTTTCCAGGGGGGTGGAGGAAGAAACTGGGTCCCTCTCCTCCTGCTCCTGGGACACAACTGAGCCAGTCAACGGATCTGGGGACATCCGGGGCGGGTCCTCCCCATCGGGGTGCGGTGGTATCAGTTCAGGGTCTGTGCTTTTATCCATCGGGGAAGTGGGAGAAGAGCGCTGGGCTGAAGCTGGAGCCTGGTCTGAAGGAAGGCCGTCCGGAGCTAACAGTGACTCCTCCGGTGTCTCCATGCTGCAGAGGAAGCGCCGCAGACTTCGGTCAGCCAGGCAGCCTCCTTCCCACTGGCTACCTGCTGTCTGGACAGCGCAGAGGCCTAGGTGACTTCAAAGTCCGCGCAGATCGGGACGCAAAGCTAGAGAAACCCACCTGAGCCTTTCTTCTTCCGGGTGGGGGCACGAGACCCCCAGGAGGCGAAGCGGGCGGGGAGACAACGCCAACGTGGACAGCCCAGCGTTCCCGAGCCGGGTCGGTCGCTAGGCGCCACTCGCTCTCGCGGGATTTGGGTCCACCGGTCGATTGGACCTCCCCATCCCGGATCAGATTTCGCGGGCGACCCGCTAGAAGAGCGCGGCAGGAACGTAAGGTCAAGGTTGACCGTTCCCGTCAAGCCCTGGGGCTCTTAGTGGCTGCTGGAAGTTGTAGTCTGAAAGCTTTGGCCCGGGTAGACGTGCCTCAGCGCCCCCTGCCGGCTCCTGTGGTCATTCTCAAAGCACCTTGCTGCCTCCCCTTATCTGAAGAGGGCGCTATTGCTATACTAGATTTTACACGTCTTGAACGTCTTGCATCTTGTTCGCCAAATTCAAAAGACCTCCATTTCTATTCATTCAGTAATTACTGAGATCTTGCTGTACTAGGCACTGGAAAAAATACCGCAGTGATATAGTAAACAAGGTCTTTTCCCTTTTAAGGCTGGTATAGAAGGCAGTGAACAAATCAGATAGCAGTAAGAGATGTAAAGGAAATTAACAAATGGGATGGTGCAGAGTATATGGGGGAATGTGTTAGACTGGGATAATAAAGAAAACTGTCCTAACAGGTGAAATTTTGGTTTGTGAAAAGAAACTATCTCGGAATGCAGTGTCCAAGCTGAGGGACGTCAAGTACAAAGTCTTTCTCCTTTCCATTTTCATATTTGACACAATGGCTGGAGTCTTCCAAATGGTCCCCACCAATTCTGCCCTCACGGATCTGGCTTCGCGTTCTTCCCCGCCCAACAAGCCAGTGAGTACAGCAGCAATACCGCGAGAATGTTGACTCCATTCTCTACCTCCTCTCGGACTCTGTATTTCCATAGCCTCCGCCCTCTGCCTAATTACTTGCCCTTACTTGTTATGGCGACTATCCAGCCCGGTGCCAGGAGGCTCGCAGGGGTTGCTGGGATTGGGATTTTCCCCTCCCATGTGCTCGGACTGGCGCTAAAAGTTTTGTGTTCCTCCAAAGTGCAGAGCCACCATCCTGCGTGCAGGTGTCCGCTGGGCTCCGCGGACACCACGCATCCGGGTCGGAGTTTGCTTCCCAGGACCGTGACAAGCTCCCCTGAAGTTCGGGTAAGCTCTTCCCTTAGCCCGATGAGTCCTCTCTGAGTCATGGGCTCTTGGCTCGGTGTATTTTCAACTCGGGAGAATCGTAGGGCTAGGGGTGGGGCAGTAGAGACCCAGTGATTGGGGGGGGATGTAAGTTTGGCTGGCAGCACCAACATTAGGGATGCAAGGCTGGGAGGGCTGTGTATGGAAGATGAAGGAGGTTAGGATCTGCCGAAATCAAAGCTGAACACCTGTACAGGGCTGGAGAGTGGGACTTCGGAGAACCTTGAGCAGGCCTAAGGGGTTCTTCCCGCCGGCCACCATTCCAGTGGAGTGAATCCTGAAATAAGACGCAAAGAGCATCGGGGTCTGAGACTTGGCAGATCCCGGGAAACTAGGGCATTATGGCTCGAGGTTTTAGCACCCATGGCATTCAGGTGGAACCTCGAGCTCCATTCCGAAATTATATCTTGATGTCGATCCGGGAAGCCCAGGCTAGGGTCCCACAACTTCCGGACCTTTGTCCTTCCAGCAGTGATCTCTGCAGTGGAGCCTCGGCTCCGATAGCTGGGGAAAATTCAGTTAAAGACAAAGACAGTCGGCTGTGGACGCGGGAAGTGCCAAGCGAGAGGCTTGCCCGCCAAACCTGGGAGGCTACCTGAGCCGAGGAGGCCGGGAGCCCCGTTATTGTTTGGCTCTCCATTTACATTTCTGCACTTGCAGGAGCATTTCCGGTTTGTTTTCGGAGCTGCTCACTCTTCTCTCAGTGCGAGGGAAGTAGAAAAATAAACTGTTTTTAGACTGTTGTCGATTACACGCGGAGGGGAGCTGCTCACCTATCCTACCTTTTTTTTTTTTTTTTTTTTTTTAATTCCTGGCCTACTTAGTTTCCACCGTGGGAAAAGAAGGGGTATTTGTTTTGATGCAAACCTCAGTCCCTCCCCCAGCTTGATTGGTGTGCTCCACCCCAGCGGACGCCGTCGGGGCGGACGCTACCATTACTTGGCACGGGGTTAAAAATGTAGATGCAGGGGGGAAACCCTGGGTATTTTCGAAAATGGGTGCATTTAAGAAGAAAACGGTGACAAACTGGCACGATGGGTCCCTTGTGGCGGAGAAACGGTTTCTCTTGTGTCAGGCTTCGGGCTGAGCCATTGGGGCCCGGACGCAGACGGAACGTCCAGAAGCGGAAGGGGCGGGGCGGGGCCGGCGGCTGCGTCCTGCCGGACGGAGGCTGCGGGACCCGCGCGGAGTCCCAAGTGACTCCCCCCGCCGCCTCGCCCCTCCAGCTTTCCCTTCCCCTCCCTTCATTTAGCACGGTCCTGCTACGACCTGGACGCTGGGCGCGGCGCTGCTCTACTTACCTTTTTTTCTAAATTGATTTGTAAGACATTTACACCCACTGCAATTACATATTTCGGCAGCTTAACGCCTGTGAAAATACAGAACATTTTAATCACCCCAGAAAAGTTTCTTCCGCCTCTTACCAATCGCTCACCCCCATGCTTATTTTCATTTCTGTCACCATCGGTGCGTTTTGCCTGCCGGAGAACTTCATATAAATGAAACCATAGCATGTGCTCCTTCGTTTATTTCAGGCTCCTTTCGTGCAGCATCCTGTGAAATTCACCTATGTTGTTGCATCATTTAGCTACTTAATATATCCGTTGGATGAATACACCATCGGCTCTTTATCCATTTCACGTTTTCCCACTCGGGGTTATTTTGAATAAAGTTTCTGTTAGCGTTCTTGTACGATTCTCTCTGGTCGTACGTTTTTAAGTTCCTTGGATCAGTACTTTCCGAGTGGAATTGCTACATCAGAAAAGGTGATTTTCACAGTGGCTGTAATAGTTTATGTTCCTGTCAATCAGAGATACTCTTCCTCATATTTAATTTGTCCTTTCTAATGTGGTATGTCGTTGTGGTTTTAATTTGTAGTTCTTTGTTAATATGTCATGTGTTTCTTGTTTATTAGTCTTTCCATGTCAAGTAAAAAAGACTCTTTTCCCCATTTAAAATTTGATTTTTGTTGTTGTTGTCGAATAATAGGACTTTTATGTATTCTGTACACAGCCTTTTGTCAGGTGCAGATCAGGTTTTCCCTAACCTGTTGGTTTGTCTGCTTGCATAACACTGTCTTAAGATGAGCAGAAGTTTCATCTTTTTTCTTTTAAGTGGTTGTAGTGACCTGTTCAGAAAATCTTTGCCTACTCCCAGGCCATGCAAATACTTCTGTACTTTCTTCTGGACCCCTTTTATGGAGTCTATGAGTCATCGTGAGTTGGGGGTTGTTGTTTTGTTTCGTTTCGTTTTGTTTTTTGTTTTGTTTTCATAATGTGTGAGATGTAGGGGTCAAGATTCTGTTTTGGTTTTTGTTTTGTTTTTTCTTTATAGATACTTGTTCTTCTAGCTGCACCCATTGAAAAGCCTTCCTTTCCCCGTTGAAATGCTTTTAGTTGGAGTACTTGGTCCATTTATATTTTACTGCATTTATTGTAAGGTTTGAGTTTAAGGCCACTATCTCAGTGCTTTTTTCTTTCTTTTGAGATTTATTTACTTATGCGTACAGAGCTGGGTACAGGCCAGAAATGCAAGGGCATGGGATGAGAGATTTCACCAGAGACACAGTGGGGAGCAGAACAGGCAGATCTAGTGAAGTACACTGCTGAGGGGAGTAGCCTGAGAGACAGGAGAGGTCTGTTGCACCATGTGGGTCACCTCCCTGGCTAGGGATCAAACTTATATTGAAAAGACTTTGGCTAGCTTCATAGTGTGGTGCTTTAGCCATTGCAAGCTTGGCAATATCTTTTCTTGATTTAAAACAAACAACAAATAAACTTTCCAGCAAACATGGAAAAGAAAACCTTCTCAGTCTCATAAAACACACACCCAATTAAGTTACCATTGACAACATAAAATACTTTTCCTTCAAGATCAACAAATAGAAACAGATTTGACTCTCACATCTTTTACATTTATACTCAGGTCTTAACCAAGCAAGAAAAAGAAGCAAACATAGTGATGAAAGGGAAAAAATAAAACTCTCTTAGTCACAGCTGGTATGACTGTGTATGCAAAAAATCTTATTAGAAAATCTGAAAAAAGCTTCAAAACAAATTGGTGACTATAGCAAGCTCACATTTCTAAGGTAATATACATCAGTTTGTATTCTCATATATATAAGCATTGAATCTGAAGTCAAAAAAATTAATTTTCTAGGACAGTTCCATTTATAATAGCATCCATAAACATGACATACAGGAATAAATTTAACTAAAGATAGTCAGAACTCAATATTGAAAACTACACGAGGTGCTAAGAGAATTAAGAAAAATTTAAGTGGTAGAAAGAAATTGGAACACAATAGTGTAAGCTGTCAGCATCTCAAATGATTTGATTAAATCAAAATTCTATCAAGTTTATGGAAATTAACGAACTAGCCCAAAATTAAGGACTGGAACAGAATAATAGGTCTTAAGGTGCCTGACTTAAAGATGACCATAAACTACAGAAGGACAATAATCAATGAATAGAATCGAGTCCAGGAGAAAATCTATAAAGGTAGTGTAATGATTTTCTACAAAGGTACGAAAATGAATAAGCTGGGGAAGTAGAAATCATGCAGCAAATGGTGGTGAAACGAGGGGGTGGGGGCAAAAAGAATGGTTTTTCATCACTGCCTCCCTTGGTATGCAATTTATGGTAGATAATAGATTGAAATATAAAAACGTCAGATGAAAATACTTTCCTCTTGGTATGGGTGTGGGTTATAAGGCTGCTTCACACCTTGTCAAACTTTGTGATCAAATGGTATAGTAAAGAGTTGTGCATTTTAACAAATACTTCACCCCAAATATATTTGTAATGCAGTAGGGAATGACTAACGGTATAGATGAACCACTAGAAGTTGATGTTTGAAGTTGGGTGGTGGGTACAGGAGGGGATGGTACATTATTCTTTTGACCTTTATATATGTTTGAAATTTTCATAACAAGTGTTATTTTTCTTTTTTAGATTTTTTTGTTTTGGAAAAATGCAGACAAGTACAAGAATTCGTATACAACATTCATATCCCCACCAAATAATTTTAACACTTAAAACACTTTGCTTTGTGTCTGTGTTTTAATTATATGAGCAATGAATGTATGGCTATCTTCTCCTTTCATTTATCTTCAATAATAAAGCTAAAACCCCCTTGAAGATGCCCCTGGTCACACGAGCCTACTTACCTCTCCCTGAATCTATAACTATTATAGGTTTTGTGAATTTTTATTCTTGCCTATCTTTTATGCCTCTACATATTTGTATTTATAAACAATAAATAATCATTTTGCATTTTTTATTTATATAAAAGACATTACTGTGTTTTGCTTTTTTCAAGCAAATTGTCTTTTTCACCCAGCGTGTTTCTGATCAGCGTCTCTTTACACACATACAGATGAATTTGTTTCCTTGAACTGCTATTGTGCCTTTTCCGCATGAGTAGACCACCTTTCATTTAGCCATTCCCTACTGATAATAGTGATGTTTCTTGTCACCTACCATTGGGAACAGTGGTCAGAATGTCTTGCACAAGATTCCTGCTGCCCCCGTGCAGTCATTTTTCTAGGGAGTCTATCTAGAAGTGCTTTTGCTGAGTAGTAAAGTGTGTGCATTTCCAGTTTTACTAAACACTATTGTTTTATTACTTTCACAGTCAGTTTTTTTCCAATCAAATAGCTTTCAGACAAAAACAGGATTTTTACATCTATTCTCTGAGCCTGAGTGACTTGATTCCTTTCGCCCCAGATGCCTGACCTGCTGGTAATTTGTTCCTTATTGACTTTTTAAAAGGATTAATGAGACAAGCCAGTGAAAGCAGAGAGCCCAATGGAGTCTATAAACAGCCATTGTTGCACCTCTATATCAAACTAAGCTGGGGGCTACCTGTGTAACCGTCCTACCTCCCCAACCATGTGAAGGGGTGCTTCAGCTTTTGACAGTTTAGTATGCTGGCCTCTGATGCTCAAACCCATGGGAAGCACCTGCCGTTCCAAAAAAGAAACACTGAGAATTTACTTGCTCCCAAGGACGAGAGAGGGAGACCTCACGTCCACGGAACTGAACTTGCAGTGGAGTTGAGACTTAAAGCCCAGAACAGAACAGCCCCCCCCTAGCATGTTCACTGAAGAGTCCCTGTAGAAAGTGAACCAGTGGGGAGAGTACCACCAAAGACCCAACCACATGCTACCACCAAGTTCTTGCTCTAGGAGAATAATATGGAACAATCACAAGGCCTCCCTGGTGGTGCAAGAGGTTAAGTCTCAGCACTATGAAGCTATCCACAGCCATTGCAGCACGAGATGATCCCCAGCCAAGGGGCACTGCAGACCTCGCCTGTCTTGCCCGCTGCTCCCCTCAGCAGTGTATTTCAGTGGATGTGTCTGTTCTGCTCCCCACTCTGTCTCTGGTGAATCCTTTCAGCCCTTATATCTCTGACTTGTACCCCAGCTCTTATATGCATAATACATAATATTCGTTGAACTTTTGCTATATTCCAGGCATTTTTTATGAGCTCTTTACATTTCCCATGGGAAGGGCCCCATGTTGGGGCCATGGATGCTCAGCACAGAGGTTAAGTACCTTCCAAAGTCACACACAGGTGAAGAGCCAGGAATGCAGGCCTAGCCCATCTGCCTCCAGGGATCATGTTTGCTGCCCCTAGGCTGCTTTAAACTGGAAATACAGAAAGATAAGTAAAATGCAGCTGCTTATGGAGGAAGCCAAAAGCTTAGCCCTTTAAGCTACGCAAGGTCACACAGCCTATAAAATAACAGTGATGTGTCAAGCCAGGCCTTTTGGCTTCTGAGCCCTTTCTGCAATCACTGGTGCTTTTTTCTGTAAAAGTCTAAAAAGTTCTCTTGATCATGAATCCAGGTCCTTTCCCTCCCCCCCAGTAATTGTTTAATTGTTTGGCATCACTCCTACTATACCTAAGTGGCTTCCTCTACGCTCCATGGTGGGTCATAGTCCACCCCTCCCCCAATACCATGTGAGCAGCGGTGCTGGGATAAGTGATTCTTTGCCAACTTGTCTATTGGAATACTTTTATCAGCTCAAAACCATGTCTGAGGTACAGATTACAAAAGAACTCTGCAGAGTGGTCTGTAATGAAGTGAGCATCTTATTAGATGTTTGAATGGTCATTCTGAGTAAAGTCTCGTTCACTCACCTGAGCAAACTTATGGTCTGGTCACTTAGTGGCAGGTGTGATTATCAGAACAAACAAGATAATCACTTGAAAAGATCCTGAAGCTCCAAGTATGTAGGAAAACAAACTCTCTATCAACATAAATGTGGAAGTCGGAGTTAACAGAAAATAGAAAAGAACTGGTCAATAAGCCACCCATTGTGGGGAGCATTTGTCAGTGAAAAGCCGTGAAGGGGGAGGGAAACTGCATATTTCTTAGCAAAGCTGATGCCAGATTTGGCATCAAGAAAAATGGCACAATGAAGCTAGTTGAAAATTGGTCGAGGAGGTCACATGCTGGCCGCCGACCTACTCCAGGGCCTGTCCTGCTCTTGACCACTGTATCAGGGTCACGACCTGGCACAAACTGACTTGCCACTAAGCCCAGTCAATGTGAACAAGAGAAATAACTTCCCTGTCTTGAGGAAGTTTATAGTCCATTGGAAGAAACAGACAAAATGAACCCAAAGAGATAATCAGTGTAAGTACTAAAATAATTAAAATAGGGTGACCTGAATTAAAATAGGGTGATGGAGTTTGGCTGGCAGCCTTTGATTTAGAGGTTTGGGAAAATATCCCTGAGGAAGCATGACCTGCAAGACGATCTCTTGCTCTGGTGCCTGCCCTGCAACCATGGGGAGTCAGTTCCCAGCAGAGGGAACTGCCCCTTGAGCAAGGGGGGGCAGCCAGTCTGGTCCCCAGCACCAGGAAAAGTAGTGAGTGCTAAAAGAGATCAAAGGCAGGCAGTACTGATGATGAGGGGCTGTAAGCTGTGAACAAGAGAGTGGAGACAGACAGCTTCTAGAAGCTTTTCAGTGAAGGAGTTTAGGTAGGGAATATGGGGTCAAGGAAGATATTTTCCCCCCAGCGCAAGGGAGGACAGCAAAGTAAGCTCCACATTTCCGGAGGATTGTGGCCTCAGTGGGAAGCTGGAAGTTCCTCTCTGGTCATTTCCCCTCAAAGAAGTGTGTGGTGAGCAGTGGGCAGGAATAGTCTGGGTTGTGGTAAAAGATCTGAAGCGAAGGGGCTCCTCAGGAGCTCAGGAGGCCTCTGCTTGCCACCCCGGTAACAGCCCCTCAGGCTGACTGGCATACACAGATATGAGAGGTGGAGGGGGCTCTTCTCCCTCAGTGCTGGACAACTTCAAGCTGGGGTGTCATGCAGGAACTTTGCTTTTCCCACCACAGTGGCCACACTGACTTCAGGGAGCTGCAATGGAGGAGTCACAGGCAGAACTTGGCATGGAAGCCCCTCTAAGTCAGGAGACATTTTCAGACCTGTGGAGCCTGTGAGTAGAAGGGGCGGTGGGTGCAGGTTCACAACCCAATTTGCCCCTTTGAAGTGGCCTGTGGGAAGCAAAACCAGTACTGACCTTCTGCTCTTACCTTTCAGACTTCCTCAAAACAACGTTCTGGTAAGGACTTTTGGGTGGGAAGGGACCTGGTACTGAGGGGTCTGGCGGGAGGGCTGTGAACCTGACTGACTTTTGTGTCCTATCCACAGTACCAAGGAGTGGAAGAATTGCTCTCCTCAGAAAATGTTGCAAACTGGCTGGATGAAGCTCCCAATGAAGCTTCCAGCATGCCAGCAACAACTGTACCAATAGCCCCGATACCAGCTACCCTGGCACCAGCCGTCTCCTGGCCCCTGTCATCCTCTGTCCCGTGTCAAAAGACCTACCCGGGCAGCTATAACTTCCGCTTAGGCTTCCTGCAGTCTGGGACAGCCAAATCTGTAACCTGCACGGTCAGTGGCCCGCAGGGACTGCCTCCCTGTGACTATCTCATGCCTGGCCATATCCCCCTGGGTTTTTCTATTCAGAACTTAAATTCTTCTTCAATCTTTGGCATCTGAGTAGTTTTTCTACGTTTTACCTGTAGAATGTGTGACCTTTGACCTCTGTCCCAAAGTTGCATTACCCCCTTGACCTTGAGCTTTCATCCTTCCCTTCATACTGAGCACCTCTCATGGGGACTTGGAATTTTCTCCTTTTTCTTCATGCTCATTCATTGCTTAGCATCTATACGTCAGCTTCTGGGATCTCTAACTACCTTCCCTGCACAGTACATGGCTTAGTGGCATTTGTTCGTTTGACCCCTGGGTACTTGTCCCCTGACCTTCCGTTCTTTCCCCTTTTTCTGTAGTACTCCCCTGACCTCAATAAGCTGTTCTGCCAGCTGGCAAAGACCTGCCCTGTGCAGCTATGGGTCAGCTCACCGCCGCCTCCTGGCACCCGTGTCCGTGCCATGGCCATCTACAAGAAGTCAGAGTACATGACGGAGGTTGTGAGACGTTGCCCCCACCACGAACGCAACTCTGATAATGATGGTGAGTCGCCAGGGGCTGCAGATGAAATAAGGCTGGTGCCCAAATTCCCCTCGGCCCCTGATTCTTCCCTAATTGCTTTCAGGTCTGGCCCCTCCTCAGCATCTCATCCGGGTGGAAGGAAACTTGCATGCCAAGTATTTGGATGATGAAAACACTTTTCGACATAGTGTGGTGGTGCCGTACGAGCTGCCTGAGGTCTGGTTTGGCATTTGGGAGACTGCAGAAGGAGGGGGCTGAAGAGGGTTGGCAGTGACCCTCCAAATGGAAAGAGGACTTTTCTCTACATCTTACTCAGTCTCTGCACAACCTTGTGAGGTGTGCAGAAAAGATGGGTTATCGCCCATTCCACAGTTGAAGAACAGTATTAACAAAGGCTCCAGGTCTCCACAGGACTAGGTGATCTCACCTGGAGCCTGTGCTCTCTCACAGGTCGGCTCTGACTGTACCACCATCCACTACAACTTCATGTGTAACAGCTCCTGCATGGGGGGCATGAACCGGCGGCCCATTGTCACCATCATCACACTGGAAGATTCTAAGTAAGGATCCGCATGCCATTCACACTGGCACCCTCCTCCCTAGCCTCTGCCTCTAGGGCCTACTGCTCAATATACCTGAAGCCAGAAACGTAGGCTCCGCCTAGGATGAGGGAGGTTGCACGTGGGCAGGGTAGTTTCTAGAACAAGGAAGTAGGACCTACCTACCTCACTGTCTTCTCCCTCTTCTACCTTGGGTAGTGGTAATCTGCTGGGAAGGAGCAGCTTTGAGGTGCGTGTTTGTGCCTGTCCTGGGAGAGACCGGCGCACAGAAGAAGAAAATTTCCGCAAGAAAGGGGAGCCTCACCCTCAGCCACCCCCTGGGAGCACTAAGAGAGGTAAGCAAGCAGGACAGAGGAGGTGGAGGAGCCAGAGATAATACAGCTGTCCCCCAAAATCTATCTTTTCTTACCTTTTCTTGTCCCCAGCACTGCCCACCAGCGCCAGCTCTTCTCCCCAGCAAAAGAAGAAGCCACTGGATGGAGAATATTTTACCCTTCAGGTACCAAAGTTTAGGAGAGCTACTGAGTCTCTTGCTCCCATTCAGTGAAGTTGCGTAAGGGAAGAAAAGATGTAAATGTAGTAGATGTAAGTTTGGGCTCAGCCTCTCTGTTCATCTTTCCTCTTGATTGTGGCCTTAAGTCTTTTGCAGTTAGTAATGGGTTAGAGGTAGGACAACTCAGAAGTCTGTTTTCTTGACTGCTTTGCCATCAGGGCATAGTGTGCTTGGAGATAGTGCCTCTCAGTTGTGCCTAAGCCCAAAATACTGACTTATACCTCAGCTTATGATTTTTCTTTTTCCTGCTGCACAGCAAGTTTATTAAGGGAAAGAGACACTTCCCTAGACACAGGAAAGCAGAGAGCTGCCCATAATAAACTTTTTTTAAGATTTATTTTTATTTATTTATGCATATAAGAACTGCGGTGTGGGGGCCAGGGGTAATAAAAGAAGATTTACCAGAGACAGACAGATAGAATAGAGAGGAGCAGAACAGATGAACAGATGGATCTACTGAAACACTCTGCTTACGGGAGCAGAGGGTGAGACAGGTGAGGTCTGCTGCACCATGTGGGTCAGCTCCCTGGCTGGGCTGACCATAGTGGCGATAGTGCTGAGACTTAACTCCTCAGCCACCAGGGATGCCCACGATAATACACATTCTAAAGGACCAAAAAGAAAATTGTTAAACAAGCATGGAAACTGTACCATGACTGTGTCTAGTATTTCTCTATCCCCCTTCTCTCCTTCTTCAGATCCGAGGACGTGAACGTTTTGAGATGTTCCGGGAGTTGAATGATGCCTTGGAGCTGAAGGATGCCCAGGCTGGGAAGGAACCAGGGGGGAGCCGGGCTCACTCCAGGTAAAGAATCTGGGTCCACTCCCAATTCACCCCTTGCTTTGCTAAGTTGGAAAGCCAGAATATTCCATTCTGTTTCTGCCTTTAAGATAAAAGGCAACTGATTCCCTCCCCTTGGTGACAGTCCTGTTCAAACACCACTTTACTAACTCAGGGAACCCACAAAACTCTCAAGTCCACCATTTCCAGCAAACCCCTCCTCTCCCTCCCAGCGGAGGATGTCTCAGATAGGGACCCAATAGCTGTGTGGAAGTGTTAAGAAAGTGCCAAGATTTGGGGTCAGGCTTAACCCTGCTAAGTACTAACAAGTCCAGACACCCCTCAGGCTCATTCCTCTAATCGAATGATAGAAGGGGACAATAAACACTAATATACACAAGTATGCACAAGGTGCTCAATAAACATGTCTGCAGTTGGTGATAACTTAAATGAACTTAAATTTGCATTACCTTGTCCTCAGGCCCTTTAAAGCCTAGCTAGGTTTAGAATGAGGGGCCCAGAGTCTCATTTGGATGATGTCATCTCCCACCCTTCTGTCTCCCCACAGCCACCTGAAGTCGAAGAAGGGGCAGTCCACTTCCCACCATAAAAAACTGATGTTCAAGACAGAAGGGCCTGACTCAGACTGATGTCCTCTGCTTCCTGCCCACCACTGATACACCTTCCTGTAACCCCCTCTCAGCATTTTTTAGCATTCTGGTGCTTAAACCTCTGCTTGATACAGGTGTGCCTTCAAAATACTCTAGGGTATTTCCATTTGTCTTTCCCTGGGTCACCACAATAGAAGTTGGCCAGCACTGGTGGTTTGGGGAGGGCTAGGGAAGCTGGGAGTTTTCTGCCTTAGCTTTTAAGGTCTGTACTACAAGGAACTTTTGGGAGAGGAAAAGAAATGTTCCCGTTTAAGGGGCATTTTAGAAACAGCCATACAGTGGGTTAGAAGCCTAGTCTTCTACCGTACTATCCAGGGAAATTCTTAAGATGTTGAATTTCTCCTAACTTCATTATCCACTTTATAAGATGCTGACAGTTGTACCTACCTCACAGGGTTCTTAGTGAGGATTAATGAAATAATGTGTATCTGGCCCCAGCAGCACCTTTTCTCATAGTACACACATGGGTACTCTGCCCTTTGGTAGAGGAGCCGATCATTTCTATGACAAGGTGGCTGTTAAAGCTCTTCTCTGCTGGCCCAGACAAGTTCTATTGAACCTCTTGGTGAACTTAATCCAGTACCTAAGAGGAAATCTCACTTCATCCCACACCCTGGAGAATTCCATCCGTGGCTTAGCATCCACCAAGATCTGTTTACCCTCCCTTAAATGACTCAGGGTTGATTTCAGCTGCAGTCTACAAGGCACATCTGTATTCATCACCCACTCCCCTTCTCTTCTCTTTTTTTAATCCAATTTTTATATTGATTATTTTACAATAAAATGTTGTTAGCACCTATGTGTCTGTGGAATGGAAAGAACTCTCCCAGCCTATGTGTGGCTGGCACTTTGGGGTGAATAAGGAGGTAAACTGAGAAGCAGCCACCTGAGTCCCAGGGAGTGTGGGCTGGGGGCCCAAGACTGGGTTCCGGGAGAAGAACAAAAGCTGGAGACTGGGTCAGTCTGCAGGCTGCATGACAACGAGGGAAGGGGGACTCCATTCATAACTCAGGAACCAACTGTCCCTCCGCCCTCCTGCCAGGGCTGGCACAGGGTTCTCCTCTGCCCCTGTTTCTAGGATTGGACTGCTGCCTCCCGGCAGCCTCTCACTGAGGATTATGGGATTTAAGTGTCTGATTTAGCAAGCCTGAGCCTCTGGGGTTGCCATCTGCTCCACGGGAAAGGAGCAGGCTACCTGGGTTCCCAAGGGAAAAGCTGTGGGTGCTGTAAAATGAAGCGAGAAGCCCGCCAGCCAGGGTCCCCAAGAAGAGGGGGCGGCTGAGGTTAAGGCTGAGGCCTTCCCAGCATACCCTGGTCCTGGGCCTCGTGCCAAGCATTTGAATGAATTGAAGCTTTAAACTCTGCCAGAAAAACCTTTCAAAGGGCTTCTTGGGGTGAGAAGGAGAGTGGAGGTTGGGAAGCTCAGCACCGCCCCCTATTTCTCAGTGCTGCCAGCTCCCAGGGAGGGGGGCCACAGGCAAGTCCTCCTCATGCTTCATCCATGCTTGAAGGGGAACCAGATAGTGGGAGCATGGCTTAGCTCCACCTTAGAGGTGGAAGAAGCTCCGGAGGGGCTTCTGGGACCCTGTCCTTTCAGTTATCAGTCAGGTGTAAAATGTCAAGCCCTGGCTTGCTTTGAGGGTCCCGAGCTGACCGAAGCCAGCAGCCTGCCGAGCCTCAAAACTGCCGTTTTTTTCCCATCTTCTGTTCAGGAATGCCAAACATCCCCTAGGAGACTTGGAACCATCACTTTCAAAAACCTTAATTTTGCCATCTCTCCCCACCCACTAGGGTCTTGACAAGCCAAGGTCCAAATTTACTCTATCTCCTATAGCGGGTCACCTTGAAGTTCCCTTTCTAACTAGTGTCCAGCACCCCTATTTTCACACTTCTTTAGGTTGCACCCCTAGCAGTTTTTCTTTCTGCTCTACTACAGAAAGCAGATACATTTGAACTCTGCCAGTTCCTTCTTTGTGAGCTGACATGACAGAATTACAAAATCTGGGTTTGGGGGCCAGCTCTACTATGAGCTCTGTGACCTTTAAAGAGCCCTAACCTCTAGTCCTACCTGTTGACTTCCCTCTGGCTGTGTTCTTTCAGTCATCTGTCCATCTGGTGGGTGGGTATTCACTTGTTTCTTACTCTGCCTGGCAATTTCCTTGGCCCTAGAAGCATCCATGGCAGACATGGCTCCTGCCCTCAAACTCCCAAGATCCCAGGCCCTGTCCTGTGGTATATTTAAATATATATACTATGCACACATACACTCATACAATCTCCCTGACTTCAGGAACCCAATTTCCCCAAATCTGTGAGACCCTGCAAAAGCTGTATTCTGAAGAACATGTACATGCATAAATGCTTTCATTATTTGAAGAGAAAAAAAATACCTAGTATGCACCCTTAAAAGTCAAAGATAAAAGTTATTGAAAGAAAAATCAAAATTAGTTGAAAAAATAAATCCAAAAGCAGGGACTTTAAAAAGATATGTTTGAGGGCTCTCCCTGGTGGCACAATGGGTTAAAGTGCAGCACTATGAAGTTAAATGAAGCCAATGCAGCATGAGTTCGAGCCTCAGCCAGGGTGGTGACCCACATGGTGCAGCAGACCTAACCCGCCCACTGGTCCCCTCAGCAGTGTATCTCAGTATATCTGCCTGTTCTGTTCCCCACTCTGTTTCTGGTGAAGCTTCTCAGTGTCCCACCACAACCACCTCTGGCCTGTGCCCCAGTTCTTGTATGCATAAATAAATAAATCTTTAAAAAAAAAAAGATATGGGCCCTCCCTGGTGGCGCAGCGGGTTAAAGCACTGCACTGAGAAGCTAAAGCCACTTCCGCATGAGTTCGATTCCCGCCTGCCCCGGAGGAGACCACATGGCGTGGCAGACCTCTCCTGACCCGCCCACTGCTCCCCTCAGCAGTGTACTTTGTCGATCTGCCTGTTCTGTTCCCCACTGTCTCTGGTGAAGCCTCTCACCGCCCCTGAGCCTCTGGCCTGTACCCCAGTTCTGTATGTACAAATAAATAAATCTTTAAAAAAAAAGATATGTTTGAAAAGAAAAACTAAAGAACTGGATTGAAACAGCATCTAATGGTCCAGTGTTATTTAAATTATTCTGAGCCATATGAAAGTGGGATCTCCATATGAAAGTATGGTTTCATTAACACTAAAACCTGATAAAGATGTCAAAATTTTTAAAGCCAAATTAATTTATCTAGTGTAAAATTTGAAAATAGTGTAAGAATGCACTGATAAAGCAAAAGAATATTAACACTAAGTAAGTTTTATTCCAGGAAGGTAAAGTTGACTTAATAGAGAATCTATCAACATAATTTATTATATTAACAAATTACAGAAAAATACTGATCTATCAATGGATGCTGAAAGGAATTTGGTTGAGTTTCAAAGCCACTCCTTAGGAAAAAAGTTAATTAAAATAGTAATGGAGGGCCCTCCCTGGTGGCGCAGCGGGTTAAAGCACAGCACTGAGAATCTAAAGCCGCTTCCCCATGAGTTCGATTCCCGCCTGCCCCGGAGGCGACCACATGGCGTGGCAGACCTCTCCTGACCCGCCCGCTGCTCCCCTCAGCAGTGTACTTCCTCTATCTGCCTGTTCTGTTCCCCACTCTGTCTCTGGTGAAGCCTCTCACCACCCCTGAGCCTCTGGCCTGTACCCCAGTTCTGTATGCACAAATAAATAAATCTTTAAAAAAAAAAAAATAGTAATGGAATGCCAGTAAGTATTATCCTGGTGGTTGAAACAGTAAGATAATTTCAATTAAAATTAAGAACACTACAGGAATGCCCATTAACGACTTTAATATATTCAAGAGGATCAAAGTGAAATGAGATACTGGAGAGAAAAACTACCTTTCTGATATGATTATGTACTAAAAAATTCAAGAAAAGCTCCAAACTCTGATGAAATTATGAGAATGTAATAAGGTAGATGGATAACATAAAGAAATAGCACTTTTTATATTCTGGCAAATGATTTGATATGAAAGAAAAAAATTAGTCAAAGGGCTTCCCTGGTGGTGCAGAGGGTTAAGTCTCGCACCATGAAGTTATCTGCAGCCACTGCAGCATGAGTTTGATCACCTGCCTGAGATCTGACCCACCTGGCGCAGCAGACCTCTCCTGTCTTGCCCACTGCTCCCCTTAGATGTGTATTTCAGTCAACCTGCCTGTCTCCCCACTCTGTCTCTAGTGAATCCTCTCACCCCCAGCACCTCTGCTATATCCTAGCTCTTGTATTCATAAATAAAAAAATAAAATAAATCTTTTTTTAAAGGTTCATTGAATAACAAAAAAGTAATATGTAGGAATAAGTTTAATAAGAAAGGCACACACAAAATACATTGATATAGAACCTATATGAAGAAAACTATGATACCTCATTTAAAGATATAAACCTTTTGTTGGGATAAACAAAAGGAAAGAACATTCTCAGATGTGAAAAAAAAATAGCATTTTAAAAAGTCAATTCTGAAATAACAATATCGTGCACATCCAATTGTAACATGATTTTGTAAGTTGGTAAATATGTCAAGAATAGGCAATAGTTTTCTGCAAAAGAATGGAAGGAACCTACTTGCCTTGCCAGATTTCACAAAATTACTAGAATCAGTAGATTCCAGTGGACATGGCTTGGTGTGCACCATAGCAGACAAGCCAGGGGCAGCAGTCATGGATTCAGACATAGATTTCAGCATACAAGAAATTTTATTATGTGGCTACAGTCATTACTTCCATTCAGTGGAGATACATTTTGTATTTTTTTTTTTAAAAAGTAAATGAAGGGACTCCTTGGTGGCCAAGGCTTAAGTCTCAGCTGCCACCATGACAGCCTGAGTTCAATCCCTGACCTGGGAGCTGACCCACATATGGTGCAGCAGACCTCTCCTGTCACCAGCTGCTCCCCTCAGCAATGTATTTCAGTAAATCCATTTGTTCTGCCCCCCAGTTTGTCTCTGGTGAATCCTTTCTCTCTCTCTCTCTCTCACACACACACACCCCGTTGGCCTAAACCCCAGTTCTTATATGCAAAATACATTTTAAAATCTTACAACAAAGGAATATTTCTTTTAAAAAATAAATAAAACATAAGGGCCTCCCTGGTGGCATAAGAGGTTAAGTCTCAGCACTATGAAGCTATCAGCAGACCTCTCCTGTCTCCCCCACTGCTTCTATCAGCAGCGCATTTCAGTAGATCTGCCTGTTCTGCTTACACTCTGTCTCTGGTGAATCCTCTCATCCATCTCTGGCCTATACCCCAGCTCTTGTAGAAATAAATCTTTAAAAATATATAAATAAAATTAAATTAGCTCTAAAATCATGCCTGATATACCACGATAAAAACATTGTAAAAACCCATCATTCCTTTTTTCTGTATTTGTGGTTTTTTTTATTTAAAGATTTATTTATTTATTCATACAGAACTGGGGTACAGGCCAGAGATGTGGAGGGTGAGAGGATTCACCAGGGACAGAGTGGGGAGCAGAACAGGCATATCGACAAGGTACACTGCTGAGGGGAGCAGCGGGCAGGTCAGGAGAGGTCTGCCATGCCATGCGGCTCAGGAGAGGTCTGCCATGCCATGTGGTCACCTCCGGGGCAGGCGGGAATCGAACTCATGCGGAAGTGGCTTTAGCTTCTCAGTGCTGTGCTTTAACCCGCTGCGCTACCAGCGAGGGCCCCTATTTGTGTTTTTTTTTTTTAACACATATTTGGGATCATAAGGTTTATAACATTTTAAAATCTGCTTCAACATTTTTCTAGGCATTTGCTGATGTTATTCTTTCTCCAAACTGCCCCATCCCTTACAGCTCTAAGAAACCTTCCCTTCAAAGCCTCCAACAGAAAGCAGCTGGGAAAAAAAAGTGGCTGATCATTGAATTTTATCATCCCTAAGTTTTTCCCTTTCCTTGCAGCACATTTAAGTCTACCTGATATTGCACCTCACCTCTCCTGTTAAATTGGGGAGTTCCTTGGGGGCAGGAACTCAGTTTGCTAAGTGTGTCCTCATGGTGCCTAGAATGCACATAGTAGACACTGCATAAATATCACTGTACAGAGGGACATAAACTTCTCCTCTCTTGTACCAAGATACAAAATAGTACAGGTGAAGGATGAGCTAAGAGCTAGTTGTGTGGACACTGAAAAAAGAGGTCAATGCTAGTCTTCCCTGTCTCAGTGATATCAAGCTATCCCAGCTACTGCAGCCTAAGTTCCATCCCTGGCCAGGGAGCTACACTCATGGAGGAGCAGACCTCTCCTGTCTCCTGTCTTCACCACTGCTCCCCTCAACAGTAGATCTGCCTGTTCTGCTCCCCACTCTATCTCTGCTTAATCCTCTCACCCTCACACCTCTGGCCTACACTCCAGCTCTTGTATGCATAAATAAATTAAAATAAATGTTAGGGCCCTCCCTGGAGGCTAAATGTGTTAAAGCACAGCACTATTAAGCTAACTGCTGCTGCTTCAGCACGAGTTCGATCCCCTGTCAGGGAGGTGACCCACATGGCACACAGATCTCTACTGTCTCTCCCGCTGCTCCCCTCAGCAGTGTACTTCCATCAGTCTGCCTGTTCTGCTCCCCACTCTGTCTCTGATAAATCCTCTCCCACCCTTGCACCTCTGGCCTGAAAACCAGTTCTGTATGCATAAATAAATCTTAAAAAAATAAGAAGAGGTCGCAGCAGCCCCCCAAGGCCTGGATAACCCTTAAATCACCCAAATCCACCCTCTGCCCCCATTCCAGGGCTCTTTCAAATGCTCAGAAAGGAACAACCCGCACGCAGGGCTCTGTGTATGATATATATTTATATATATAATTGCTCTCATTTTATTGTACTTTATCCTCTTTTTACAGTAAATCTGACACAGGCATTAAATAACTGCAGAGAGAGACCACTAGGGTGAGGAGAGTGCAGGAAAACCTGGGGACCCCAAGGGAAAAGACAGCTCCAGCAAGAGAAAAAGGGAAGGGTCCCCCCTGTGAGCTGGCATGGGGGCTGCAGCATCAGAACAGAAAAAGGAGGTTAGAGGGAGTGGGGAAGTGAAGAGACACTGAAATAGAAAGAGTTAAAATGTCTCCGTAAGTCCAGAACATGGGAGGTCCCTCATTTAACATTCCATGGGCACTGTGGGGTTGCTTAAAAAGGCAAAGGGGTATAAAGGAGAGGAGCCAAGAAATTCAGACTAGATTGCGAGGGGGGGTAGTATTTGCAATGCGTGGGGATGGGGGTGGAGGGGGTGGTACTTGCAATGCAGAGGGGAGGAGTTAGTGATTAGTTGATAGCTTGCTAAAAGCAACCGGAGAGGGGACTTGGCCCCAGGGGAGGAGGTGGAACAGTCCCACAGCCAGCTGATGTGTCCAAGGTGGCCTCTGGGGATCGGGCCAAAACGGCTGTCCCTCCCCCAGGCTCCCTGGGAAGTAGATCTTGAAGGATATTCTGGGAAAGCGAGCTGGGGAAGGGAGCCATGGGGGAAAAAACAAAGTGGATATTCAGCCTAGGTCAACCCCGCCCCTCTGAACAGCAGTTACTTGGATAGTAGTAGGGACCTGACCAAGAAAAGAAATTTCAAGAACCAAGGTGGGCTTCTCTTCCTCAGGGGCCCTCACTTCCAGCTCAAGCAGTCACCATAGGGTAAGAAGCAAAAAGGGGCAGGGAATAGGGAAAGACATGGAGCCACCGTGTCCTCAATTACAAATGGTTGCACTGCCCTTCAGAGGAGGGAATGGGGATGAAGAGGAGGTGGAGAAAGACCTGCCAGAGAAGCCAGAGAAGCCAATAGTTACCAAGACAGGAAGGTGTAGTCAGGGAGAAAATGTGGAAGATAGGAAAGGTCAGAGAGGCAAGCTCAGGAATGGAAGAATGGGG